CTTTGAATATACTCCATTGACTACAACCCTCTGTTGCCTGTCATTTAGCCACTGCCTAACCCATTCAACAATATTATATCTCCAGGATAGAAGACTATGTGGAACTGGTTTTGGGCAGAAAAGCCATGTTTAAATTGGTCACAAAGGACTTCGATCTATCTTTTGACCCACTGGACCAATTTGTATGATTTTGACATATGTTTGTATTTTGAGTATGCTGATTCTGAAAATGTAAGTAAATGTTTATGTGAATGTGATGTATACTTTTAAAGTTATGAATAATGTGGAAAAACTGTATTTCTCTGCCTGTGATAATTACATTAACCCATTGTGTAAGGTAATTGTATCACAGACAGAGGGGAGGATTTTGTGTGGGAGTGTCTGAGTGTATTGTATGTTTATTGGTTGTTTTACAAAACCCTGTGGGTGGTACTAATGTGTAAGAATGTGTATGTCATGGAGTAACACTTCCGGGTTCGGCACTCAGCTGTGAGTAACCGGACCCCGCCCCCCTCTGACATAGCTCTGACGGTATTTAGGGAGAGGGTGCTTGGTGATTGTGTGTGAGCTGCCTCTGCGAGCTCCACAGGCTCAGCTACTGGGAGCTACTTCCACCAGACATACCTCTCCACAAGCTCAGACAAGCCGTTCCAGCCTTTGAGCCAATGAAAGAATTGCTGCATGCCATAAAGCATGTCCGGACTGGCCATCGGGCATACCGGGCAAATGCCCAGTGGGCCGCGGTGGCCGTGGGGCCGAGGCCAGCAAGGGATCTCCCCAGCCGGCCCCTGCAGGGCCAGCGCTATCTGAGCGCCGGCCCTGCTATGTGCCTCCGTGGGCGGGTGGGGAGATCAAAGATCTCCCTCACCAGCCCAGAGGCATGGAGAGGGAGGAGAGAGGGAGGAGAGAGGACCAGCGGAGCTCTAGCCAGCAGCTCCGCCGGGTCCTCTCGCGGGATTCTGAGCGTTGCCACAGCTACCACGGCAACGCTCAGATCTCGCGAGAGTGAACTCTAACCTGCAGGTTAGAGTTCACTCTCACCACTGGACCACCTGGGAAGGCAGCATGGCTCCCCACCCCTCAGGCAGAACAGATCTCCACCCTCCCCCCCCTCCCAGGATAAAGGTAAGAAGGGAGGGGGGGATATAATTTTTTTTTTTTATTAATAAAAAATATATACTTAAATTTAAATAAAAAATACATTCACTCACACACACAGCACCCAGACACAGCACCCCCAGACACACACAGCACCCCGACACACACAGCACCCAAACACACACAGCCCCCCCAGACACATACAGCACCCATACACACCACCCCCCAGACACAGCACCCCCCAGATACACACAGCAGCACCCAGACACAGCACCCCCAGACACACACAGCACCCCCAGACACACACTGCACCCCCAGACACAGCACCCCAGACATACACAGCACCCCAGACACACACAGCACCCCCAGACACACACAGCACCCCCTGACACACACAGCACCCCAGACACACACAGCATCCTAGACACACACAGCACCCCAGACACACACAGTGCACCCCAGACACACACAGCACCCCGACACACACATGCACACCCAGACACATACAGCACCCCCAGACACAGCACCCAAACTCACACTGCACCCCCAGACACACACACACAGTACCCCCCAGACACAGCACCCAAACTCACACTGCACCCCCAAACTCACACTGCACCCCCAAACACAGCACCCCAGACAGACACAGCACCCCCAGACAGACACAGCACCAGACACACACAGCACCCTACACACAGCACCTACTCACACACACACATTACTCCACACATATACAGCACATATATATATATATATATATATATATATATATATAAAATAACCCTCAGTGAGTTAACAGACAAAGAAAATTAGAAACCTAGAATGTGACAGCAGATAAAAACACCCTCACACACAGCACCCCTCTTACATACACACACTGCGCCCCTCACACATACAATAAGTCCCATAAGTGGACTGAAACGTCGAAATAGCCTTTTTAATATATGGATTAATAAACTTAATTTTTTAATCTAACCCTTGGAAATCCGTGAGTGCTAATCACCATCTACTGGTATGTAACATTCCCCCTGATTTTGAGCACCCGGTTTGAATGTCTTTTGGAGCTAGAGTGCAAGGACTTTGTGGATGGTTTTATATATATATATATATATATATATATATATACACACACACGCAACTACAGTACCCCTCACACTGCACCACTACACACATTACGCTCCAGATACACAGTAGATCCCTTACCCTATATGCACTCTTAATCCTCTACACACACACACACACATACACACACTAGGTCCTTTATACAGTAGATCTCCTACACACACACACTACATTCCTTGTCAGCAAACACATACAACATTCTCTAAACACACCCTCTCTGCTACCCACACTACGTCACCTATACACACACACTTCAGCCCGTATGCACACACTCGCTGCATCCCCTATAAAACTATGCCCTCTATACACACACTCTCTACAACCCCTAGCCACACATATTACACCACAAACACAAATGAAATTGACCTATTTACACAATACCACACCACACTCTACACACACGCAATCCCACAAGCAGGCTCCAAACATATGCACCATACACTTTCCTGGCTCTTTTGTCCTCTGGTATCCCACTTGTGGAGACACCAGAGACAATTTAAAAGCAAACACAGCGCAAGCATGTTATTAAATTTGCTTGCGCTGCGCAGAACAAATTCATGGCCTTTTTCTAATGCCAGAGCTCTTCAGCAGGGCTCTGGGCATTGAACCAACATGCTCACTTTGAGAGGGGGCGCGCTTGTCATTAGTGATGACAAAACACACCCTCTCTGGCCCCGCCCCCTTCTTAGGGGGCCGCTCTGATTGAAAAATGCCCGGGCCTAATTTTTTTCCCAGTCCGGCCCTGCCATAAAGGATTACTGGAGAACGGATAATTTGCTACTTTACAAGTGGACCATATCTCTGAACTACTGGAGGACTACACATATTAACCTTAAGTATATCTTTCAGCTATTTGTCTACAATATCATTTAATAATGAACTAATGCTTGCTTACTCACTGCTACATTTACCTTTATTTAAAAGAATGTTACTTAATGCATCTCTAAGGAAATACTTATTAATGAACTTTGTGTTGTTGATTACTTGCACTTCTTCTTATTGGATTATTGCCTAAATGCAATTCATTTAAGTTTAACACTTATTAAAACTTCGGTTGAATCAAGTTACCAGTGATTCTCTCTTTTCTTAAAGCTACAGTATTGATACTTCAAAGATTCTCTGTTTCTTCACAATTGTAATTAGGGAGTTTTACAAGCTGCAGTTGAGTTCCAATCCAAATCACCCAAGTAGCGTAACAGTGTATATAAGAACAATAAACCGCTCTGTCTGTTCACTGCTTGACCCTCAACACGGAGCTTTGTCTCGTTCTTGGGGGGGGATTTATTGTATACTGTTCCAGTTCAACTGCTAGGAGTGTAAACCTTTTGTATGGGTTTTCCTATTCGGCTGTTTACAGCATTCATATGTTTGAGAGCATTCATATGCTTCTCCGGTTCAGTGGATTGGTGTCTACAGTAGCTGCCTGTATATCTGGAAGGGAATATCTCCTAAACGGCTTTTAACCCCTTTTATCCCTGGGGGTGCCGTTACATTGCAGTTTATTGATGAGCCTTCTATGTCGAACAGTGTCAAAAGCCTTACTTAAATCTAGGTAAGCAATATCTAGTGCACCTCCCTGATCTATTATTTTAGTTACCCAATCAAAAAAATCAATAAGATTAGTTTGGCATGATCTCCCTGAAGTAAACCCATATTGTCTCTGATCTTGAAATCCATGTGATTTTAGATGTTCAACAATCCTATCCTTTAACATGGTTTCCATTACTTTCTCCACTACTGAAGTAAGGCTTACTGGCCTATAGTTGCCCGACTCCTCCCTACTACCTTTCTTGTGAATGGGCACAACATTCGCTAACTTCCAATCTCCTGGGACTATTCCTGTTAACAATGATTGGTTAAATAAATCTGTTAGTGGTTTTGCAAGTACACCACTAAACTCTTTTAATAACTTTGGGTGTATTCCATCAGGTCCCATTGACTTATTTGTCTTTACTTTTGACAGTTGAAATAGAACCTCTTCCTCTGTAAACTCACATGTAACAATTGGCTCATTTGTCCTTTTTCCTAACTGAGGCCCTTTTCCTTTATTTTCATCTGTAAGTACTGAACAAAAATATTAATTGAGGCAGTCAGCTAGACCTTTATCCTCTTCTACATACATTCCTTCTTTTGTTTTTAATCTAACTAATCCTTGTTTTACTTTCCTTTTCTCATTTATGTATCTAAAAAATGTTTTATCACCCTTTTTACTGACTGTGCTATTTTCTCTTCTGTGTGTGCTTTGGAGGCTCTTGTGACTTGCTTAGCCTCTTTCTGCCTAATCTTATAGATCATTCATTGTTTTTTACTATTTTGGCAACATCTACGGAGTACCACAGTGGTTTCTTCCATTTTTTGCTTTTACTGACAAGCCTAATGCAATTTTCCCATTTTTTCCTGGACTCCATTTAAACTGCTCCAGTCTGATAATGACTCCTTTACGCATATTCCAATTTTAGAAAAGTCTGTTTTTCTAAAGTCTAAAACTTTTGTTTTTGTGTGGTGTGACTCAGTCACTGTTCTTATATTAAACCACACTGACTGGTGATCGCTGGGTCCTAAACTTTCACCTACAGTAATATCTGATACCAAATCTCCATTTGTAAACACTAAATCTATTATGGCCTCCTTACGAATTGGTTCCTCAACGAGTTGTTTTAGAGACAATCCCAGTATGGAGTTTAGAATATGTGTGCTCCTGGCTCAAGCAGCTATTTTGGATTTCCAGTTAACATCAGGAAGATTAAAGTCACCCATGAGGGGGGCGGGGCCTGACCATCATGGCCACCGGACGTGTCTGCCATGAGCTCCGTACAACATCCGCGGACATCGGCAATATTAACTACAATGCCATCCCCAAAACTCACCCAGCCAGGTACCGCAATGCCTCTAATGACAGGGGAGAGCTCCGATCCGAACCTGGAGACACATGCTCCGGACAGCGGCCAGACACAGCACCTGCGACCTGTACACCAGGCAAGTCCCACGGAGGGTGGAAACGGCCGTTCCTCCAGCCGAGGACCGCGGGTAAAGCACAAAACACCTGTTCCCCCCCCCCCCCGAACCGGCGGGGGATATCCTGGTCCATACAGAAAGCATGGCAACCTCACAATGCCACCCAGACAGCCTCAGCAAGGCCCACGAGGCTTACCTAAAATGGCCGCCGCCCAGGGAAAACTACAGCCAGAAGCTGGCCAGGGGGCACAGGAGTGGATGATTTCATTCAATGCCAGATTTAACGGAATGTGTGAGGACTTCTGGGAGCGACTAGAACGCAGACCTCAGGTGAAACTGACCCCTGTTGCCTCAGAGCTCCAAACTGCACCTACAGCGGTTAAATTAATGCCTAATTCAGGACTCACCCCACGGCACGACACACTCCCACCCGCACCCCCTGCATCACGCGGGAGGGGAAACACAGGAATCCATGCCCGCTCTTCTTCCAAGCTGGGGACACCAGTGGTGGTGACCCCCCACAGCCGTCCATACACCCCGGGGCATGTCCGCGACCTGACAGACCCAGGGGCCCGCGATCCTGGAGAAGGGATCAATGGAATACAGGCACAGGTGCCCGCACAGGCTTTGGGCCGAAGATGCAGAGAACGTGGACCCCACAGACCCTCCAGCTGGCAGCAGGACAGTGCACATATCCCCTGCAGACGAGTCACCTGGAGAGACGAAGAGGGAACAGAGGTGCCATACAAGCCGTGGCGAGGACTAAACATGGACACAAAGGGACTACCAATCCAGGGAGTCGGCTGACAGCCACGTCCTCACAAAGAAATGCTGCCACATACAGCCATGACCCAATGGAAGATGCGCAAGCAACCAATCCAGCACCCCTTGTTGTTACCCCTATGCAATATCTGCACATGTTCATGTTACTGATCTGTCTGAAATCTCTTGCTCAGAAAAGCGGCTCTTACCATGACACACTCTCATTATATTTATCATGACTGGGTAGCATAAAAGTTGTGAATACCTTTACGAAGAAGCACAAATGTCTCGAGTCTTAAGCATGACAACCATATCGTAAAGCAACATATGAGATGTAACTAAATAGCCTGTATTAAGCTTGTCTTATAAACTAAAAAAATGTGCGTTACTATGCATACCATGCAAATGTTAACTAATATCTGTTTCCCAACTACAGGTGAATACTGATGTGACATTGCACAAATTACTTTACTCCCTTTAGCTACATGTCTATGAACCAGCTTGTAATATGAGAAATGTACACCTACCCTTTATACCCTACCTAGACATGTTAGATATAGCTTGTACCTCATATCACCTAAAAAAAAATGTGCAGTATACTCATATGCCTTGACCTTTGCTATGCTTTAAGTTCTCTGTCTTGCCACTGCTGTTGGGGCATAGTATGAATAACTGTTAATCTTATGCACACAAAAATAAAGTTTTATAAAGTCACCCATGATAATAACTTCCCCCTTCATTGTCATTTTAGCTATTTCCTCAGCTAGTAGATTATCTAACTCTTCTATTTGTCCTGGGGGCCTGTAAATCACACCTACACGAGTTACTGTGCGATTACCAAATTCTAACGTAACCCAAACGGACTCTATGTTCGCCTCACTAACTTTTATTAGGCTAGATTTTATGCTATCCTTCACATACAGGGCCACCCCTCCCCCTTTCTTGCCTTCTCTGTCTTTTCTACATAAAGAGTACCCTGGTATTGATACCGGAGAAACTGACGGAAGCAAAGCACAGAGGGATGGACACAGGTTTCTTCAGGAAGGAAGAGATTCTTTATTGGATCACCGATCGGGACTCAGAGGGACTAATGTCACCAAAAATACAGCAAGTTCTGAGCCCTGAACAACAGTGCAGGCTCCCTATATAGGCACATAACTCCTCCCATATTAAGCTCCACCCGCACATTCTCTTGACCAATCATTACAAATAAGAATTAACTTCCTGCTTGACCGCATGGTTTGTCCAGCACAATGGAGGAGGGGAATACTACATCCTGTATTCTTGCACATGCTCCGTACACTACTGATCGTATCTTGCCTCGTGCAACCAACTGATCGACACGTCAGCATATGCACGTACACATGCCACGTGGTAATCTCGGCCTACTAAATTTATTTTTACCGAGATTCCACCACATTCCCCCCTTTGATGCCTCTTGATATTTTACAATTACTTGAGGTATCACTTAACCTTGGTTTGCATACACCACAAGTTACCTTTGAACCAGACCAGACTTATCCTATGATGTGAATCTTCAACACTCGTCTTCCTGCATTGGTTCTCCCTGATCTAGAGCCTTATATTTATAAATTGCCATTATCTGTGCAGCAGCCTTCCTCTCTGCTATATTTTCTATCAGGTTTTGCACAGACCTAACTACTAAGGGTATAAGACACGGCAGGAGTAGACACAACATTAAAATCAGTAGGACTCCACCTACCACTGCCTTAAGCCCTCCAAACCACTCATACCAGCTACCAAACCAACTACTTGGATTGTACCCTTTCCATACCTGAGTAGGCACATGCGCTAGTTTAACCATATGGTTAGTAAGCTCAGCTATTGCTTGCCCTTCGTCATCTATTTGAAGACAGCAATTGCTCAGGTTAAACTTCCTACATACACCTCCCTCTACTGCCAAAAGATAATCCAAGGCTAATCTATTTTGGTAAACTGCTGTCCTCATCCTGGTATTATGCTTCGCTAGAAGATTGAGCGCTTGTGATGTCTCGTTAGTAATGATCTCAACCACCGCCTGTAACCTTATAATGCGGTTGAGCATATAAATAGGGGTTCTATAACCAAAGGTACCATCCTCTGCCCACGTGGTTGGCCCATAATAATCTATAATACGCTGGGGAGGCCATTCATTATCTTCCCAGGCACCTATCTCTATGGGTCCCCTTTTCTTCCTATGATTCACATCATACACTTTAACACCTAAAGTCTCACCTGTTTCAATAGGCAACAAGAAGAAGGATGGTTTTAATATACCCAACACACATGCCCCTTCCCAGTCCTGTGGTAACTCCGAATAGGCCTTCTTACCACAGATCCAGTACAAATTCGCTGGGGCTCTCCAGTTAGATGTGATGGATAGATCAAACCATACGCCCTTTAAATTGGCATATCTTGCAAACGGGTTAGATGGTTCTGAGATATTTGAAGCCGACCACCAAGTTGTATTCTTTGTATCATCATCATAAGCTTTTTGCCCTAGACAAGTTAATTCTCCTACAGAAGTATTATACATCATTCCTTTCCTCGCTATGCAAACATAACCTATGATGGAGGTCTTCTATCTCCACTCAGATTTACCTCTAACACTCATATGATAGTCGGCTTGTGTAGATATTAATTGGTCAACTGCCTCAGAACCGGACATTACCTCCTTTGCTTCCCAAGGCTATTGGTCTCCCATGTTAGTACCTCCACACACATAGCAGTTGGTAACATTAAGACTACCGGCAATACTCTCGGCTAAATCAATGAACAAGTTTTTAGCATTATGGGGGATCTTATTATCTATGCTCATCTCTTCATAAAAGGAATGGTATACTTGATGAGTTTGGGAGGTTACCGTATCAGTCTCTATCCCTATAAACAATATTGTCCTAGGGTCTAAACCCGTCCCATATATTTGAAACCCAAATAAATTACCATATTTATCTAAGAACTTGTCAGGGTTATTTATAAGTATATGGATTGGATTGCATTCCATAGACTTACAATATGGATCAGTAGGCAACTTAGTCACAATCATGTCCTTGTCTACTGTCTGTCCCCAAGTCGCCCACCCCACACAAGACCAATATGGGCAGAAGTTATAATCTCTATTTGGGCATCTTGGACTTACATATTTATTTTTACTACTGGGACAAATATATTTATCATTAGACCCATACGTCCTCTCCCATCTAAGATCCCCACATACATTCCACGGCTTTCTACCACTTGATATTGCTTTACACGCATCAAATAGCAGAGCACCTGAAGAATATATGGATTTTAATACCGTCTTATTAATTAGGGTCCCCTGAGAATCTCCATTTCTGAGAGTCAACCAAATTGTACGGGGTTGATACTCAGGACTGAAGCACTTAGGTTCTCCTACTCCTAAATGACACACACTATATTCTATATTTAAGTATCTACATCTTGATACATCTCCTTACACTCATATTGCGAATGCCAAATTAGGGTCTGGGATATATGGTTACCTGTTCTTGTAGTCTTAATGCATACCTCACAGCTAGGAGTGTTGGTACCTCTACCTTCCTGAATAAAAAAATACACATAAATAAACATTATTAAAAATACATCTTTCGTCGTCATCCTCAGTCTTCGTCCGTGCGAAGGCACCTCAGCTTCCAGGATGTAAGGGCTGCAGGGAATGGAGTTCTGCTCGTCTTCACAGGGGTCCCTTCAAGACTTTCCCTGACTTATACACTCGTTGGTGAGTGGACAGGCTTTATTATGGCCTTCTCACTTACTTACCAAGTCTCTGAAACAATAAAATTTGTAATCTACAAGGTTCCTCGTCACTCCGACTGAGTCGTGCGTTTTAACCGGATCTTGCAGGGATTCTCTGGATTTGCTGTAACTTGCCAGGAATCGGCTGCTGCTGGTTTAACTCTGGAGTGATGTATCCACGGAGCCACTTCGGCTACTTTTATCGCTGTAGGGGTAGACAGAAGAACAACATAAGGACCTCTCCACTTGGGCCCTAACGGCACATTATTCCACTCTTTAATCCACACTTGGTCGCCTGGGTGGTAACTATGAATTGGGGGATAAATATTCACAGGTAATCTATCTTGTACCTATTTCTGTACCTCCTCCATAGTCTTACCCAACTCTACAACCTGCTGCCGGGTAATTCCTTCTCCCAACTGACTCAAATCCCCCCTTAAGTTACCAAGCACGGGAGGTGGTCGCCCGTACATGATTTCAAAAGGAGAGAGGCCCATCCTTCTGGTAGGTGTACTACGGATTCGAAATAGAGCTATGGGCAAGAGAACGTTCCACTTAAGTTGGGTTTCCTGACACATTTTAGCCAACTGATTCTTAATAGTTCTATTCATTCTCTCTACCTTACCAGAACTCTGGGGTCTATATGCCGTATGAAGCCTCCACTTTATACCAAGCATATGAGTCAATTGTTGTAGACACTGATGAACAAAAGCTGGACCATTGTCCGATCCTATAGAGCAGGGTAGTCCATATCGGGTATTATTTCTCGTAGCAGGAATCTCACGACTTCTCCTGCTTTCTCTGTACGAGTAGGACATGCTTCTACCCAGCCTGAATAGGTGCACACCACTACTAGCAGGTAGCGATGTCCACCCGATTTAGGCATCACTGTATAGTCAATTTGTAAATCGGACATGGGAAGTCCCCCCATAAACTGGACTCCTGGTGGCTTTACTGGTCCTTGTCTTGCATTATTTTTAGCACACGTTACACATCTACGTACAATGGCCTGAGTCAAGTTGGACAATCTTGGTATGTAGAAATGTTTTCTGAGAGATTCTTCTGTACTGTCTCCCAGAATGTGTCCCGTTATGATAGTTTTGGACAATTTCTACCGCTAGTGATGCTGGAATAACTATTCTTCCATCTTCTAACTGATACCATTTGTTCTCCAAATACTTTCCAGGTTCAGTCCCTAACCACTCCTCTTCTTGAGCTGTATAAATTGGAGTCCATTGAGACAGTGGAGTTGGTATAAGAGCAGCTATATGCCCCACATATTCCTGTCTTCCTGATTCAGCAGCACGCTTAGCTGCACTATCTGCCATCCGATTCCCTTTGGTTACATCACCATCTCCTCTCAGATGCGCCCGACAATGTATAATACCGACTTCTTTCGGCTCCCACACTGCTTCCAATAGTTGTAGGATCTCAGCTGCGTATTTGATTTCTTTGCCTTCTGAATTCAATAGTCCTCTTTCTTTATACAAAGCTCCGTGGGCATGAGTGGTTAAAAACGCATACTTGGAGTCCGTGTAGATGTTCACTCTTAAACCTTCAGCCAATTGTAACGCTCGTGTCAGTGCTATCAATTCTGCCTTTTGTGCTGATGTTCCTTTTGCCAGTGGCCGAGCTTCTATCACCTTGTCTATCGTTGTTACTGCATATCCTGCATAGCGGATCCCTTCTTTACATAACTACTGCCGTCGGTGTAATATTGAACATCAGGGTTCTGGATGGGAAAATCACGAAGATCTGGTCTACTTGAAAATACTTCATCCATTACTTCCAAACAATCATGTTGACTTTCAGTAGGTTGTGGCAAAAGGGTAGCTGGATTTAAGGTATTTATAGTCTCTAAATGCACTCTTGGGTTTTCACACAACATTGCTTGATACTTGGTCATACGGCTGTTACTAAACCAATGATTTCCTTTGTAATCCAACAACGTCTGTACTGCATGTGGAACTCGTACATAAAGTTCTTGACCCAAAGTGAGTTTATCGGCTTCAGCTACCAGCAGGGCGGCTGCAGCTACAGCTCTTAGACAAGGTGGAAGTCCGCTGGCCACTGCATCCAGTTGCTTAGACATGTAGGCAACAGGTCTTTGCCATGATCCCAAGTACTGTGTCAATACTCCCACAGCCATTCTTCTTTGCTCATGTACATACAGGTAGAATAGCCGTGTGTGGTCAGGTAGACCTAATGCTGGGGCACTCATCAAAGCCCTCTTCACATCTTCGAATGCCGTTTGCTGTTCTTGAGTCCATAAGAAGGGGTCGTGCTCTGTACCTTTGATAGCTGCATACAGAGGTTTTGCCAGTATCGCGTAGCTGGGAATCCATATCCTACAGAAGCCTGCTGCCCCCAAGAATTCTCGCACTTGTCTTCTATTCCTGGGTATCGGTATTTGGCACACAGCTTCTTTTCTCTCTGGCCCCATAATTCTTTGACCTTCAGAGATATGGAATCCCAGATATTTGACAGTTGGCAAACACAACTGAGCCTTCCTTCTTGACACCTTGTATCCTGCCTTCCAGAGAATGTGTAGTAGATCGTGCGTTGCTTGCTGACATACTTCCTTTGTAACTGCTGCTATCAACAAGTCATCTACATATTGTAATAATACACACTCTCCTGGGATAGACTCGAAATCTAGTAGATCTTGACTTAGAGCTGAACCAAATAGGGTAGGTGAATTTTTAAACCCCTGGGGCAATCTTGTCCAGGTCATTTGGCGTTTCGAGCCCGTTACAGCATTTTCCCATTGGAAAGCGAAGATACATTGGCTTTCTGCGGCAATTCGGAGGCAAAAGAAGGCATCTTTGAGATCTAAGACTGTAAAGTAAGTAGCCCCGCCCGGAATTAAAGCAAGCAGGTTATATGGATTGGGCACGACTGGATGTATACTAACAACCGCATCATTGACTGCTCTCAAGTCCTGCACAGGTCGATACTCATCTGTACCGGGCTTTTGAACAGGCAGCAATGGGGTGTTCCAGGGGGAAGTACAGAATCTTAGGATACCATACCGTATGAACTTATCCAGATAAGATTGGATGTTCTTCTTAGCCTTCTGCGGAATATGATATTGTCTCAGGCTTACTGGATAAACCCCAAGTTTTAGTTCGATTTTAATAGGTGGAATATTACGGGCGAGTCCTGGTGGGTTGTTCTCTGCCCAAACTCCTGGTATGTTAAATAAGGATTCATCACTCCTCGGGTTTTGGCTAGTCAACACTGTATATAGTCGCCACTCTTCTTCCTTTGGTACGGACAATGTCATAATACCTGAAGGTCCATTAAACTTTAAGGATGTTGTTCCATTTGGTAGGAACGTAATCTGCGCTTGTAATTTGGATAGCATATCACGTCCCAGCAATTGGACTGGACACTCAGGCATATAAAGGAATTGATGTTTTACTACGTGGCCTCCCAATGTACAGAGTCGACTTTTAAGAACCGTTTTTTCAGCACTTCTTCCAGTTGCTCCTATTACAGTAATAGTTCTTCCAGATGGAGGAGCAACTTGATTAGTCACCACCGAATGTTCAGCACCAGTGTCGATCATGAACGCACTCCTTTTTCCCCCTATTGATACATCGACCATAGGCTCCGCTCGACCAAGGGGATGGAGCCCGGTCGGTATCAATAGTCCTCCATGACCGTGTCAGCCAATCCCACAAAGTCCCTACCTTCTCTATCGCGGGACCTTTGCGCTGCTGGATAGTACCTATCTTCCCTTACACTTCCTCTGTTCCCATTACTCCCTCTATTACCATTACTCCCTCCGGGGCCTCCTCTACCTCTCGCTCTGCCTCTAAAGTTTCCGTAACCTGCCCTGGGTAAGTCTCTCTCATACTGCTCTCTTTGCGGACACTCGTTCCTCCAATGCCCTTCTTCCTTACAGTACGCGCACTGATTC